TCTATAGAGTGATAGGGTGAGATAAAACCCACAGCAATTGTCCCTTTGGAATACACGATGAACCTGAGGACATTATCTCTCTGTGTGTTATCCAGGTTCCACCATTACTCTCTGAAGAAGAAGGGATCAGTCAGAAACTCTGAAGTCTACAGGCTGTAATAAAAATGTTCTTCCAGTTCTCAGGTACCCCAAGCACACACACCAGTGGCTCAAGTTCCCATGGCACATCTCTATAATATGGATCTGTACCTGTGTTTAGACTCCATGCATGGAATCTCACTGGCTGTCCATTCATCTTCATGTGGACACTGCTGGAAAACACTTTCCAGATGCCTTGTGCCCTATGATCCGCACTAAATTGTTCCTCCCACATATCCTAAAATTTCTAAAAATTGGTGCGAATCTGATTTGGGTACTAGAAGAGATTGGCAGCTGTACTTCCAATATAGAAATTGTTTTCTCTGTGATTTTATGACTGGGTGAGGGTTCTGGCTACTACGACCCTTGGCTTAGATTTCCTTGGGAGATTCCAACAAAAGGTAAATATACAAACCGTGGTCAGAGGTGGGCTGATCATCTTGAGGTCTGAGCATACAAATACATGCCATACACTTGGAGACAACAGGGAAGAAAGAGATGTGCTAGGTATCTATCTACATCACAGCCTGTTCTCAAGTTCAATTCAAAGATTGAAAAACATCAGTCAAAAATAGAGGGAACAGTCAAAATACAGGTTTATGGATAAGCCATGGAGGAAGATTGTGGTAGTTTAAATGCTATTAGTCCCCAAATTTCATAGCGAGTGTTATTAGGAGGAGTGGCTTTGCTGGAGTGGGTATGGCCTTGTTGGAAGAAGTGTGTCACTGTGGAGGTGGACTTTAAGGTTTTCTATGCTCAGGATCCCACCCAGAATCAGTGGACTTCCGGTTGCAGGAAAGATACAGGGCTCTCAGCAACTCCTCCAGCACCATGTCTGCCTGCATGCTGCCATGTTCCCTGCCATGATGGTAATGGTCTGAACCTCTGAACCTGTAAGCAAGTCACCCCAATAAATGTTTTCACATATAAGATTTGCCATGGTCATGGTGTCTCTTCACAGCAATTGAAACGCTAGGACACAATGAAACCTTATATTTATTGAAGACTATATACATAATGGTAGGGCAGGAAATAGTTGACAAAGAATATTGTAAGATGACACTGTGTTAGGTACATAAGATAAAGGTAGAGATCTATAGAAATCAGGGTATAAGTCTTGCTTCTTCTAGGTAGGCTCTGGTGACACTATGAAAACATAAGAATCTACGTCTAGTTTCCACCAGAGTGTGGATTTCAGTGTTTTCTACTAGACATCCACATTAAAATTGTGTCTGTACTCCAGGGTCATCACATTGTTAAGTTACTTGATGTTTTTAATCATATCAAATTGAAGGTCAACGTCAACGGAGTGGCCAAGTTTAGCTGAAGGTCAACAGAGTTGCTAGGTAACTCAGAATATGAGGGTTTGGAGCAGAGTCTTGAAGCTTATGCTGGTCCTTGTGGTGGTTCCAGTTTCCTCTGAATTGTTGGTGTTAACACACATGAGACCATCTTGTCCTGGATCTCTTGAAGACCAGGTAGCAGTTGGGCACACAATGACTCCTGGGTGCGGCCCACACACCCATCATGCCAGTGTCTGCCCAGATTGTTTCTCTCCTGTGGCCCAGATATCCTGACAGCCATAGCTTCTGCTCCTGGGTCCTCCAAGATAACAAATCTCCTGGGTGTGATGAAGAGAGAATGAGGACTACAACTGTCAAAGTTAAACTTGACTCAGGCTTCTTGGTGTTAAGTTAGCCCCCAGCCCACACTGATTTTGATTGTCCTTCAGTCATCAGCTTCAGAACCCTTGTTTAGGAATCCAAGATTTTTGATGGATGGAATGGTGGGGGTCGGGTTTCAGGTGAATCACAATAAGACCCTGTGCTATCTAATTCTTCTTGATATTAAGGAGAGTGGTTCCTTGTTCCATTAAAGGTCATTGCATAGTCCTTGCTCCCTTGCTGTGAGTGTATCACTGGGTCCTATGGAGAGAGGGTACGGCCCACATACCCTAACATTTAAGCTAGACCCAGGTAGTAGAAGGTACTCAGAGTATGCCATTCTTCAGACACCTCACTCATGGTGTTAATGTGTGTTCAACCTTCTTGGAGCAGTAGGTGTGGCCTAGGTCAGACTTCAAGTCAGCTTTTTATCCTTGCTCTCTGAAAGTCCTCATACAGGAAGACCTGGGCACAGAGGATTTGCTGGGTGCGGCCCACACACCCTTGATCCCAAGCTGTGTTATTGTTATTTGATGTTTATGTGAGGCTCAGATTACTAGAGAGCAATGAGGTCTTAATCCATCTGCTGTGAGATTGTTTGTTGGATGTGTTGTAATAGCAGGTACATCTCACAAACTACAGTGGTACCACAAAGAAGAATCTAGATTAGCATTGATGACAGTTCATGGTCTATGATGTGATGTCAATCATCAGTGCAAGAATGGTTGTGGTTGAGTCCAAATTTCTAAGTGCAATAGCATGGATTGGGTCACAAATGAGGCTATTTGTCCAACAAAATAAATTGACGTGAGAAAATGCCTGGCCTCAGACCAGGTTTTCGTCATGGGTATGTCCATTTCCTTTGGTCATTAAGGTGAGGTTTGATCTGGGTCACAAATGAAGCTATGGTTTGTCCAAAAATATTTGAAGTGAGATAATGCCTGACCTCAGACCAGGTCGGCGTCATAGATATGTCCTTTTCCTTAGGTCATTAAGGTGATATATTGTCCCTTTAAAGACTCCCTCCTTTGTGGTGGGATCTTGTCCTGGGTTGACTAGAGGGTGTGGTCCACACACCATTTAATATTAGTCCAGTCTACTAAGGGTTCAAGGAGGTGCTGGGTTTCCTTTCAGGTCTGCTTATGGCCTTGAACCTGTATCAATAATCAAGTCATTATCAAGTTCCCCTTCTTGGAGGGGATAATGCATCCAGATTTCAGTTAATCAGATCAAGTTCTGGGTTTGCCCAAGATTCTTGGTGAGCAGTCTATGGCTAGAGTATGAGAAATTTTCTTTAAAAAAAGTCAGTCAAGATAAGGTGCAGGGTGCATTGTAACACCCTTTTTGATAAGGTGCATCCATGTTACTGGATTATTTAGGTGAGTCCTTGGCACTTTATGGCAATGTTGTCATCCTTTTTAGCGTGTTGAAGATGTTGGGTTGAATGAAGTGTGTGTGTGAGAGCCACACATCTGGTACTCAGAATGTCACTTATATCAATCATTATAGGAAGCATAGAGGGTTAGTCCAAGGCTATACGTGACAAGTGTGCACTGATGTCTTGGTTAGGTGTAAAATAAGAACTGAAATTAAGGCCTTCTTCAGAGAACCTCATGGTACAAAGTACAACCACGGTGTTGTTTAACTTTAGATTGGCAGTGGGTTCAGGCTTCTTTGGGAGGGGATTAATCTGTGCTGATATTACATTAGTTTTTGTGCCAAAATTTCGTCATTGTTAGGATCAGGATTGTCCTGGGCACACTCATTTTCTTGGTCTGGCCCAGACCACTTTCTCTTGATTGGCCAAGGACAAATTCTCCAGATAATTGTGCTCAGGCTCCTTTAGGGTCAGGGGTTAGCCCAGGCCCACATCTCTTCTTGCTTTGGGCCCGGGCTTTTTCAGGGTCAGGATTGGCCTGGGCACACTCATTTTCTTGGTCTGGCCCAGGCCTCTTCTTTTGACTGGCCCAGGCCAAATTCTCTGGATAATTGTGCTCAGGCTTCTTAAGGGTCAGGGGTTAGCCCAGGCCCACATCTCTTCTTGCTTTGGGCCCGGGCTATTTCAGGGTCAGGATTGGCCTGGGCACACTCATTTTCTTGGTCTGGCCCAGGCCTCTTCTTTTGACTGGCCCAGGCCTAATTCTCTGGATAATTGTGCTCAGGCTCCTTTAGGGTCAGGGGTTAGCCCAGGCCCACATCTCTTCTTGCTTTGGGCCCGGGCTTTTTCAGGGTCAGGATTGGCCTGGGCACACTCATTTGCTTGGTCTGGCCCAGGCCTCTTCTTTTGACTGGCCCAGGCCTAATTCTCTGGATAATTGTGCTCAGGCTCCTTTAGGGTCAGGGGTTAGCCCAGGCCCACATCTCTTCTTGCTTTGGGCCCGGGCTTTTTCAGGGTCAGGATTGGCCTGGGCACACTCATTTGCTTGGTCTGGCCCAGGCCTCTTCTTTTGACTGGCCCAGGCCAAATTCTCTGGATAATTGTTCTCAGGCTCCTTTAGGGTCAGGGGTTAGCCCAGGCCCACATCTTTTCTTGCTTTGGGCCCGGGCTATTTCAGGGTCAGGATTGGCCTCTACACACTCATTTTCTTGGTCTGGCCCAGGCCTCTTCTTTTGACTGGCCCAGGCCAAATTCTCTGGATAATTGTGCTCAGGCTCCTTTAGGGTCAGGGGTTAGCCCAGGCCCACATCTCTTCTTGCTTTGGGCCCGGGCTATTTCAGGGTCAGGATTGGCCTGGGCACACTCATTTTCTTGGTCTGGCCCAGGCTTCTTCTTTTGACTGGCCCAGGCCAAATTTTCTGGATAATTGTGCTCAAGCTTCTTAAGGGTCAGGGGTTAGCCCAGGCCCACGTCTTCTTGCTTTGGGCCCGGGCTTTTTCAGTGTCAGGATTGGCCTGGGCACACTCATTTTCTTGGTCTGGTCTAGGCCTCTTCTTTAGACTGGCCCAGGCCAAATTCTCTGGATAATTGTGCTCAGGCTTCTTAAGGGTCAGGGGTTAAGCCCAGGCCCACATCTTTTCTTGCTTTGGGCCCGGGCTTTTTCAGGGTCAGGATTGGCCTGGGCACACTCATTTTCTTGGTCTGGCCCAGGCCTCTTCTTTTGACTGGCCCAGGCCAAATTCTCTGGATAATTGTGCTCAGGCTTCTTAAGGGTCAGGGGTTAAGCCCAGGCCCACATCTTTTCTTGCTTTGGGCCCGGGCTTTTTCAGGGTCAGGATTGGCCTGGGCACACTCATTTTCTTGGTCTGGTCCAGGCCTCTTCTTTAGACTGGCCCAGGCCAAATTCTCTGGATAATTGTGCTCAGGCTTCTTAAGGGTCAGGGGTTAAGCCCAGGCCCACATCTCTTCTTGCTTTGGGCCCGGGCTTTTTCAGGGTCAGGATTGGCCTGGGCACACTCATTTTCTTGGTCTGGCCCAGGCCTCTTCTTTTGACTGGCCCAGGCCTAATTCTCTGGATAATTGTGCTCAGGCTCCTTTAGGGTCAGGGATTAGCCCAGGCCCACATCTCTTCTTGCTTTGGGCCCGGGCTATTTCAGGGTCAGGATTGGCCTGGGCACACTCATTTTCTTGGTCTGGCCCAGGCCTCTTCTTTTGACTGGCCCAGGCCAAATTCTCTGGATAATTGTTCTCAGGCTCCTTTAGGGTCAGGGGTTAGCCCAGGCCCACATCTTTTCTTGCTTTGGGCCCGGGCTATTTCAGGGTCAGGATTGGCCTCTGCACACTCATTTTCTTGGTCTGGCCCAGGCCTCTTCTTTTGACTGGCCCAGGCCAAATTCTCTGGATAATTGTGCTCAGGCTCCTTTAGGGTCAGGGGTTACCCAGGCCCACATCTCTTCTTGCTTTGGGCCCGGTCTTTTTCTGGGTCAGGATTGGCTTGGGCACACTCATTTTCTTGGTCTGGCCCAGGCTTCTTCTTTTGACTGGCCCAGGCCAAATTTTCTGGATAATTGTGCTCAAGCTTCTTAAGGGTCAGGGGTTAGCCCAGGCCCACGTCTTCTTGCTTTGGGCCCGGGCTTTTTCAGTGTCAGGATTGGCCTGGGCACACTCATTTTCTTGGTCTGGCCCAGGCCTCTTCTTTTGACTGGCCCAGGCCAAATTCTCTGGATAATTGTGCTCAGGCTTCTTAAGGGTCAGGGGTTAGCCCAGGCTCACATCTCTTCTTGCTTTGGGCCCGGGCTTTTTCAGGGTCAGGATTGGCCTGGGCACACTCATTTTCTTGGTCTGGCCCAGGCCTCTTCTTTTGACTGGCCCAGGCCAAATTCTCTGGATAATTGTGCTCAGGCTCCTTTAGGGTCAGGGATTAGCCCAGGCCCACATCTCTTCTTGCTTTGGGCCCGGGCTATTTCAGGGTCAGGATTGGCCTGGGCACACTCATTTGCTTGGTCTGGCCCAGGCCTCTTCTTTTGACTGGCCCAGGCCAAATTCTCTGGATAATTGTGCTCAGGCTTCTTAAGGGTCAGGGGTTAGCCCAGGCCCACATCTTTTCTTGCTTTGGGCCCGGGCTGTTTCAGGGTCAGGATTGGCCTGGGCACACTCATTTTCTTGGTCTGGCCCAGGCCTTTTCCTTTGATTGGCCCAGGCATAATTCTCTGGATAATTGTGCTCAGGCTTCTTTAGGGTCAGGGGTTAGCCCAGGCCCACATCTCTTATTGCTTTGGGCCCTGGCTGTTTCAGGGTCAGGATTGGTGTGGGCACACTCATTTTCTTGGTTTGGCCCTGGCCTCCCTCCTTTGATTGTCCCACACCTATGTTTCCTCTCTAATGGGCCTTGGCTTCTTTAGGTAAGGGAATTCCTTGGTTCCCCATATCTTCTGATATGGGGTCCTGCCTTTTTCAGGGTCAGTGTACCTGTTTATCATTAGGGTGGATGTAGTCAATCCTTTCCAGTCGATGCTTGCCCAAATCTTTGACTAAATCTTGGTCTATTTTCAGCATTTCTGAAAAATTAAAAGAAAAGTCAGGTAGATTTTGATAGTGGAAGATACTAGCATCTGAAATGTTCTCAGAACATTATTGACCTGTCCTCGGGGAAACATGCACAGACACAGACACAAGTAGCCCACAGTTCACATGAAATAATTATACAGTATATAAAGATGAAATATGTAGGAGAGAAAGCTGGTTGGGTAAGTCCTTCCTGTTGCACACCTGACGGTCTATGGTGGAGGGGATATCCATGAGCTCATGTGGAAAGACTGGTCCTTTGACTTTGTGAGATACACATAAGAGAGTCCCACCAAGACACCGTGGTATATTTCCTTCCTGTGGTCTGAACCCTTGATGGAATATCACAGTTACATGAAACAGCAGCAGTTAGTCCTCCCATCATCTATAGGATGCCTTGCTAAGGCAAAGAAGTCTCTACAGATCATCACAAGATCTCTTTGCTATGTGGGGATGGCATCCTCTCTCTGAATGTCATACATGGCCATGTTTAGTGAGGGTATTTCTCTGATCCTTGTTTTTGTAACCCATCTCATGGTCATATCTGCTGTGTCAATCAAAAACCCCTCAGACACCGAATCTGCCTTTGTCACCCCTTTCCAGAGAGCACCCTGCCAAGTACACTGGTTTGAGATCACTTCTTCACCTATAGAATTTTCTGCAATCACTTACCCTAAATACATCTCTGCCCACCTTCTGCTGAGCTAAATCCTGGTCCACTATACTGGTCTCTGCTGCCCTCTGAACTGGGTCACACCCTGAACTATGACAGTGACCCTCATGTGAGGTCACAGAGGCCAGGCCTCACTGTGTCTGTGAAACTCAAAAGCTGTCCATGCACACAGATGTCCTTTGGGCTGGTATTTAGGGGAAGTCCCTGAAGGCTTCTCTTAAGATCATTCTTGGGAACAAGCTCACATCCAGTCTTTCTCCTCCAGGGAACTTTACCCCTGGGACCAACAAGTTCAGTAGGGAAGGGTCATACTCTACCCTAATGTGCACAGTTCACCTCTTGGTGTCTCCTTTCTGCTGCTCAGTTTATTAATAAGTTTCTCTTGTCAAGAGATTTTAAGTGTGCCATCTGCAGTATTTTGGGTGTCCAGCCAATGGAAAATGTTTGGGTACAACCTCTCCCATCACCACTATTAAACATAGCTTGCAGGAGGATTGCCCAGAAAGCAGGATGTCATGAAATTCCCTTACCTGGTCCTGTCTTGAAACAGTCAATGACTTATGAGAATATCACTCTGGATATCTGTATAACAGCAGAGCTTCTTCCTATTGTCATTTGCAAACTGGAGTTCCAAGGCAGGTGCTGGCTCTGCCTCAGCAGCTGTCACCTTTTCTCACAAATACAGGTGGAGGTTAGTTGACAAAATTTGACAAAATCCACTCAGACATACACCCAGATTCAACCACAAATATATGAACACCGGTCTCACAAGTAAAAGGTTAAGTTTGAAAATAAGATGGAACGAGTATGGCATTAGTGTCTGTGGCCATTCTGGGAAGGGTCTATGAGCCAAATGTAAAGATGATTTCCAGGGAGGTTCATGTCCAGAGAAGCCCAAGAGAAGCACCCCTACCTGTGAAGCATGTGCTCCCTGTGTGGATGTCACAAACAGGTGGGTGGTACAATTAATTATCTTTAACATTCTGTAGGCCCAAGCCTTAAGTTGTAGACTATGCACTGAGTTGACACTCTCTTCAGAGGCCTCTCTTCATTAAATTTTACATACAATTTAAATGTAAATATGGATAGGTTAGGGAGATGGCTGTAGTTCTGTTTCTTATTGTGTCCCTGACATCATCCATGCTGGGCCCAACACATAATTATAAAAGATAACGATTGTGCTGTCTAGAAGCAAAGTCCCTTCACACCCCTGCAGTAATGAATTTGAAACACTCCCTACCTGTCCTGACACTGTGGGCTGCCTTAGCTGATGGTTGTCCCTGGCTTGGGCACAATAGCAGAGTTTATTCTGCACCAGCCTGGAGACTGAAGTCTTCTCATGTGATACAGGCTGGGTGTGGACATCCCATGGCCTCATTCTCCAGTGAGATGTGGGTGTTGTCTTCCTGAGTCCTTGTTATACTAGTTCTTTGTCACACATCTTACAGATACTTACTGCAGCTTTTTCTACAGCTATAACACAGGTCCTGTTAAAGAACCACATTGTGCCTCATATCCTTTATCATCCCTGCCTTCCAGTGTAGCACGGTGATATTAAGTTATGACCTCATCCCAGGAATCCTGTGTATATTTCTCCCTCCACAGAGCATAAACATTCCTCTAAACACATCCAAGTAAAACCATGTATAAACACAGAATTAGAAGGGAGAGTACTGCCATGGTGCTTCCTGTGACAGTGACATTGGATTCTGTTCCCTAATCATGGCAGCTGTCTGTGTCTGTCTTATTATAAATGAAAACATTGTTACCACAAGGGACCAGAATTATTAGGGAAGAACAGATATCAGTGCCAGGGATGCTTTGCCCACACTCCCTGAACAACCTACGTGTGGTTGTCTAATGTGGGCATACAGACAGCAACCCTCCATCCTTATCAGCTGGTTCAGAGGCTGGAGTCCTGGTGGGGCTTCATCCCAAGGCCTCTCTCTCTCTGTGAGTGAGAAGGGGTTTCTCTCCATGTGGTCTTGATGGGCCAGTCCAACTGCTATGAGACTTCTGACTCCTGCTCTTAGGATGAGCTCTCCTCAGGCTGGGACATTTCAAATACCTTGCTATGTTTTAGTGTCCCCATTTAAGATCTCAATAAAGAAGTGCCTCAAACTAAGTAAGTCACTCACATGATTAATTTCAGGTAGTGTCCATCCCAGAAAACAGCCCAAACTTACCCAGTCACATGCACTTGCTGTGGTTCAAGCCCTCCTTCTGGACTCTGGCTTGTCCTCAGGTAAGACCCAGGCATTACTAGGGCAGGGTTCAATTGTGAGGTCACAGAGGCCTCAGCCACCTCATTCTGGGAATCCCAGGTCATCCAGACCTCTCAGTTCTCTCCCAGCCTGACCCATCCTTGTTCTTTGCCAACCTATAAATAACAACCATGTGTCTATCTTAGTAGTCCTGTGACTCAGCCACTATCTTTACTAAGATTAAAGAAAGTGTGTCTTTGCTACATTGGGGCCATAAAGTTTAAGGGTGATCCTGTGGTATCCTTCTTTCTATCATTGAATTTCCTCTTTTTCTAGGCTAAGGAGGCAACATCAGGCTTTTAAAACTGACTCATATTAAAAACAAAATGGCATTTTATAAAGGTATGCCATGACAGGGTCAGGAAAATAAGGTTCCAAATCTCTCCCTGGACTATATGTATGGTTTTGAGCTTTATTTTGGTACTAAAGAATCTTAATATTCGAGAATTATAGCTTTTAAGGCTCAAGTTTAACAGGAATAAAATTATAAATCCTAATTCTGTAAAAGAGCTACTAACTTATTATAAACTGTTAAAAAGATATTTAAGATATACATGGTAGTGGTCAGTCATGCTAAGAATAGATGTAATTCATTCACAGAGATGAGCTTAGAAGGAGAAACCAATTATTATTTTCTATTATGTGGTCTTCCATCACTTCATCATACAGTACTTTGTATGTGTGGTCAAAATTAAGCCTGAATCCAAACCAAGCAATAGCAGAGAGACTACATTAATAGCTCCTCCCTGATGATAAGGTTGATGATTGCCTTATATGCTATCCTAGAATATTTATCCAGTGACTGATGGAAGCAGAGACAGATACCCACTGCTAGACACTGAACTGAACTCCTGGAACCCAGTGACAAAGATAGAGGAGTGATGAGCAAAGGGGTCAGGACCATGCTGGTAAAACCCACAAAGACAGCTGACTGGACAAGGGGGAGCTCTTGAACCCCAGACTGATGGCTGAGAGGCCAACAGGGGACTGATCCAGACTCCATGAATATGGGTGTCAGTGAGGAGGCCTCAGAAATCTCTGGGGCCTTGGGTAGTAGATCAATGTTCACCATGGCGTACAAATGATTTTTGGGAACCCATTCCACATGCGGGGGGGATGCTTTCTTAGCCTGGACACATGGGGAAGGGCCTAGGTCCTGCCCTGGATGAAATGACAGACTCTGGAGATCCCCCAAGGAGGGCCTCACCCTCCCTGGGGAATGATGTGGGGATTGGGCTGGGGGCTGGGGGGTGACTGGTGGAGGGACAAGGGAGCAGGGGTGGGGGAGGGAGTTGGGATTGACATGTGAAGTATGCATGTTTCTAATTTAAATAAAAACATATACTGAGAAAAAATTAAGCCTTAAGCAAGTAAAGGAAAGTAAGTTTAAAGTAAGCTTAAAGTCTATTTAATATAAAATAATATTCAAAATCGGTTGTATAAAAATTGGTTATAAAAGATTGAATGCTTGAGTAAAATGGATTGAATTTACAGTGCATCTACAATGCAGGAAAGCCCCCAGGCACAAGCAGTTCAATCTGATGGAGCACAAGTTCCTTTTGATGGAGCACTATCCCATCAGATGAAGTTCCACAAGTCCCTTATTACAAGGGAGGCATGGAAAATAAGATCTGCCAGAAGTCTACTGCTTCTGACGCCAGCTTTATAGACCTGGTCACCTCTGGCTACGTAAGGTCTGGTAGGTCTGACTGGCTGTAGCTAGACCAAACCAGAATAAAACCTCATCCTTATGTAAAGATGAATTACTTCTCGTGTCTCACGTGACATGGGGATGGAGTGTCTTAGTCAACTGAGGATCTCAGAGTCTACACCTATGCCCTAAATGCCTCAAACAACAGACAGGCAAACAACATTACTTTGTCCTCAGTGTCTCTGACTGTTATGGTACCTGGACCCTACTTTCAATTGGTCATAACCTTTACCATGGCATTCAACACACTACCCCATCTTATCTGGGTATTTAATGGACTGTGCCAAAATATCAATACTTTTCACAGAAAGAAAATTTTTTGAACCACAAAAGGTTCTCAAATAGCTAAAGTATTCTGAACAAAGCTGTAGGTATGACAATATCTGTTTTCAAAACATACTAGAAAGTGACATGAATCAAAACAACTAAAGACAGCCAGTGGTGGTGCAGGCCTGTAATCCTAGCCCTTGGAAGGCAGATCTCTGTGAGTTCAAGGCCAGGCTGATCTAGAAAGCTAAAAAACCCCAGTCACTTAAAACCAGACTCATAAACCAGTTGAAAAGAGAACCCAAGAGTGTAAAGCCTGTTTTTAAAACCAGCTGATGTCAATAAAAGCAGTAAAATCACACCCTGGAAAAATACTATCCTTTTATGAAAGGATCTGAGAAAACTGGAAATCTATATGCAAAGAAACTGGATACCTATCTTGTACTGTGCATAAAAGTCAATGGAAAATGGATCAAGACTTAAATGTCAGACATGAAAACCCCCGAAGACAACATAAGGAAAATATTTGGACACTGGTCTGAACAGTTTTTTTTAATTACCCAGAAAGCATAAGTAACCAAGGCAAAAGTGAGTGTTGAGTCTTTACTGAGCTAAGCATGTTTTGATACAACAAAGAAAAAAAAGACAACTACAACATCACAAAATGACAGCCACAGAACTGGAGGTAGGATGGTAGATCATTTGTTGTATTATGGACTAAGTTTTAGAATGTATAAGGGACTCGAGTCAGTTTTTGAAACAACCATGCCAACACATAACCCAAATAAAAAAATGGAACTGCCAAAAAGCATAAGGAAAATGCCCAGCATCATAAATCTTCAGGGAGATGAAACAAAAGCACAACAGGATATCAAATGATAGAGATAGGGGAGACGGAGAAGAGGGACAATGACAGGGATGGGTAGAAAGGGGATAAAGTGGAGACAAGGATGCAAAGAAAGGTAAATTCTCAAGTTCACACAGACTGTGGAAAACACAATGTAGTTCCTTAAACTGAAAGTAAACCACCATATGGCCCAGTGGTCCCATTACTGGGCATATATCTAAAAAGAATGGAAAATGCTCTGTGAAACACTATGAACTCTCATGTTTACTGAATTCATAATCCCAAAGATATTGTGATAGGTGAATGAATAAAAATGTCACGGATCCAGCTAAATGTTCTTCAGTTATAAACATAATGAAATAATGGCATTTACAGAAACATGAATGGTACTGGAGGACATTATGTCTATCAAGGGAAGTAAGTTGGTAAAGAAATACAGATGGCATATGTTCTTACTGTTATCCAGAAGCTAAAATGTTAATATTTAAAAAGGAAAGGATTGAATTATGGTTGCCAGATCTTGGGGGGAGGGTGTATTTTGAATATTTCAAATACAAAGAGGTGATGTTGGAGTTAATAAGATACATCTATTATCTGATTGGGGAAGTACATCAGATAGCACAGTAATTGCTTAGCTGGATACCCAGAACCATATAACCCTGATATAGTTATGACTGAAATTGTAGTTCTTAGGAGGAAGAGAGGAGAATCAGATGTATGAAGTCATCTTCAGCAGTGCAGTGACTTTAAGGCTAGGAGTTATCATCGGTAGCCCATCAGGGTTATCGTTTCCCTGGGTTGCCTCTGACTGCTGGGTTTTGCCTTGTGGCAATCAATCCTGCTTCACCTGTAAACACAACCTCCTTGGCCATCTCCAGTTTGCTTTTTAGCCATCTCAAGGGCAATTAAAGCTTGTGCTTTTGATGTCTGTAGGGGGCAGGGGGTGTAAAGTCACACTGAGGCCTGTCACTGCCAGTTGATGCTTGTGGAGATCTCCCTGCCCAAGGATCCAGTCTCTGTGAGTAAGGACTGGGCCAGGGGTGGGTGGAGAGAGACTGCGAGGGCCGGCACAAGTCCTGTGTCCTCCCAGCGGGTCTGGGTGAGGTGGTGGCAGTGGCCACCTGGGACACTCTGTCCCTTTGGCTTGGTTCACTTTGGGGGGAAGGAAGCCGCCTTCCCACCAGGCGACTCATTCTAATGGGTTTCCCGTCGGATTCCTGCTTCCACGAGGCGCAGGACGCAGGGGAGAGGGGGAATGAAAAAGGAGGTGGGCCCAGAGGACAGGGGTTAGGGCAGCGGGAGAAGGATGCACAGGGATCTCCTCCAGCCCGCCAGGGGTGGGGCACCGAGCACTGGAGCACGAGGCACCTTCAACGCAGACCACAGCCCCGCCCCGGCCGCCCCGCCCCGCCCCGGCCGCCCCGCCCCGGCCGCCCCGCCCCGGCCGCCCCGCCCCGGCCGCCCCGCCCCGGCCGCCCCGCCCCGGCCGCCCCGCCCCGGCCGCCCCGCCCCGGCCGCCCCGCCCCGGCCGCCCCGCCCCGGCCGCCCCGCCCCGGCCGCCCCGGCCCGGCCGCCCCGCCCCGGCCGCCCCGCCCCGCCCCGGCCGCCCCGCCCCGGCCGCCCCGCCCCGGCCGCCCCGCCCCGGCCGCCCCGCCCCGGCCGCCCCGCCCCGGCCGCCCCGCCCCTCTCGGAAGGAGCGGCCCCGCCTCCTTCCCCTCCCCCTCCTTCTTCCCTTCCTCCCGCGACCCGACCGACCTGTGCGCGCCTAAGGCCCCGCAGCCTAGCGCCGAGTTCCAAGCGGCCAATCCGTCGCTCGTGGCTCCACTCGCCGTTGTGTAAGGTGCGAGGGCGAGCGGGCTGGGGAGAGAGAGACGGAGGCAGGGACGGAGGCAGGGACGGAGGCAGGGACCGAGACAGGGACGGAGACAGGGACGGAGACAGGGACGGAGGCAGGGACGGAGACAGGGACGGAGGCAGGGACGGAGACAGGGACGGAGACAGGGACGGAGGCAGGGACGGAGACAGGGACGGAGGGAGACAGGGACGGAGACAGGGACGGAGGGAGGCAGGGACGGAGACAGGGACGGAGGGAGACAGGGAAGCCGCCCCTCGCCGCCAGTGCCCGAATGGAAGCCCGCGCGCGGCGGAGCGGGCTCGGGAAAGCTCTCTCGGGGCCTGCTGCCTCCTCCCCGGGACTTTTTCCCCCCCGCAGTGCCCCGGGGCGTTCAAAGTGCAAGCTGAGCCTCTCGCTCTCAACTCCTTTTGCAGAAATGAGGTTTGGGGGAAGTTTTTTGTTGTTTGTTTTCTTAACTCGGAGCCTCTTTTTTTTTCTTCCCGCGCAGAAACCCCATAGCCCGCCATGGAGCGTGCCTTTACCCCGCTGCGGCCCCTGCTACCCACCGGTACTGTATCATCCCCTTCCCGGAGGTGCTGCTGCTGCTGCCCTTGCTCCACCCCGGCCTCCCGTGTTCTCCCGCCTCGTGGGCAGGCCACCCAGCCTCCCTCGCGGGCCTCTGGTTCCCCTGTGTGGAAAGCGGACACTGAGTATTAGTCTTCGCCCCATAGACCCTTTGTGAGGGCCTAGGGAGGAGTTGACAGAGTTTTGTGTCCTCCTGACCCGATGTTCCAAGAGTTAACAAACGCCTGAGATGCCAAACACATAACTCCCAGCAGCTCAACCTTCCATACTGCAGGGGGAAAAACAAAAACAAAAACCCAAAACATGAGGGACAGGGAGAACTGCCTGCTGTCAGGGACACATTTCTAGTCACCTGAAAAATAGCCTGAACTTAGTACAAGAGTAGCAAACGGTTATCTAAAAGTCTGAAAGGTTTAACGCTAAGGATTTAAATTATAATTGTGCGTGCGTGCGTGCGCGCGCGTGCGTGTGTGCGTGTGCTGGGGATCGATCCCGGAGCCTTGAGCACACTAGACAAATACTTTCATCAGTAAACTGAATTCCCAACCTCAAGGATTTGTATTTCTCAAACTTTGAAATTATTGCCCTCCACGTGTGTCGAATGAGTTGTGTTAGTAGCATTCTTTCTAATGTAAATTGTGAGGCTAGATGTATTTAGTTTTCAAATTGGTTTTCCTGTCTATGCGTGTGTGTGTGTGTGTGTGTGTGTGTGTGTGTGTGTGTGTGTAGGCACATGTGCAGATGTCAACCTTGAGTGTCATCCTTCAGGCCCTGATCACTTTGTTTTCTCTCACTCACTGGCCTGGAAATAATTGATTAGGCTAGGCTGGCTGCCTGGCCAATGGATAGGATCCCCTGTGGCCACCTCCCTAGAGCTAGCATTAAGTGCCCATCACTATGCCATGTATTTGTATGTGGGTTCTGAGGTTGAACTCAGCTCTCCCTGCTCTCCTGACTGAACTGTCTTCCCCGGCCCCTATTTACAGATTACTGCTTATTGTGTTTGCACTGTGTGGGATTTTGGGTTAACCATCAGTTTCAGAAGAAAGCATCATTTTTGGAATGGCCTTTAGTTTTTACAAGCACGTGAATTCAGGGGTCTTGTTCTGAGGTTTGAATTTGATTTTTGCTTATCACCAGTACATCCTGGGCGTGCTGGTAGGAAAAATCCAAAGGTTACAGTACTAGCAGTAGGTGACATTGACTTCTTAGTCTTAGTCATTCATTGTGCTCATGTACCCCTTTAGGGCTGAGATGGTTTGCAATAAACATAGGGCTATGTGAGTCTTGAAACTGTGAACATGCAGGAGTCTTGTCTGTACATACTAAGAGGGCTACCATGTCACTAGTGCATGTGCTGTTGGGGAACCACCCTTGTATACATACAGTGCATCATCGATACCTTTTTAGCATACACACACACACACATACACACACACAGGAAAAGAATGAAAGAATGAGGATTAAAACTCATTTTTTTTCTTTTTCTTTCTTTTTTTTTTCTTTTTTTTTTTTTTTTGGTTTTTCGAGACAGGGTTTCTCTGTATTGCTTTGGAGTCTGGCCTGGATCTCGCTCTGCAGATCAGGCTGGCCTCGAACTCACAGAGATCCGCCTGCCTCTGCCTCCCGAGTGCTGGGATTAAAAGCATGCGCCAACAACGGGCCGGCTCATTTTTGTTTCTTCCTAAACTTGATTATAATGTTTCCTGTTTGTTACTATAAACAGTTTTTCAGACATTAAGCATCGCAACATCTTGAAAATTAAATTTCACAGTTCTTAATTACCTAATAATGGCAGAGCCAACAGCATTTCCAAAAATAAACATTTGATCCCGGTGGACTTACTGACCTTCAGATGTCTTAACTAAAATGTGAGGGTGTTACTGTCCAGAGGCGGCCAGTGCTCTCTGTCTTGAAGAAAGAGCCACAGGGTGAGTGCTTTAGATGACCCTGAAGCATTGGAGTCTCTAGTGACATTTTAGTCCTGCTGCCTCCTGGTTCCCATCCTCCTGGTTCCCGTCTGCCCAGCAGAGATACATCTCGAGGCTACTGGGACTACCATCATCAGCTAATACCCGTAAAGCAGTGAAACTCATAGCAGATTGAGTAACAAACTGAGAGAGACAGCGGCCATGGGAGTTCAGGGTCGGTGCGGAGACAGAAATGGCAATGTCCAGGAAGTGGAGGGTTGCCTTCATTTCTATTACGTACTCAGCAGGGAAGCCTTGGCTCCTCTGTTTGGAACATTTCTAAGTTGATACTGCAGCAAGGTTTGTAATGCTGTGGTGTCCCATGTCAAGTACAAAACCTCAAGAGACAGAAGCCAGTGCTCCTGTGGTGGTTCTCAAAACTTCTTCCTCTGCGGATTCCTGTCTCATTTCTAGCCTTGGCCATGAAACAAGGTTCCAGGCATGATTCTGTTGACATTAGATGTAGTAAAACTGAGTAGTTGCTATGAGACCAGTGCAGTGCCTAGTTCTTTATAGTAATTTAAGAAGTATTGGAGTGCTGGGCGTTGGTGGCACACGCCTTTAATCCCAGTACTTGGGAGGCAGAGGCAGGCGGATCTCTGAGTTCAAGGCCAGCCTGGTCTATAGAGCGAGTTCTAGGACAGCCTCCAAAGCAATACAGAGAAACCCTGTCTCGAAAAACCAAAAAAAAAAAAAAAGTAGTGTTGGAGTTTATTTTTTATTGAAGGGATTTTTTTTAATCAAGCAAATAAAGCCTTTTTTAAACTGCTAATATTTTATGGTAGTCTTCTGGAAATAGCTGTTACCATCAGGTCTGCTCCAGCAGGAGAGGGTTTCCCTAGAAAAATTGTTATAGTTCGGCTCCAGTCTGTTGGAGAGCAAGTGTAACAACTTTAGTTCAGCCAGGGGAAGGTTTCCCCAACAAAAAGTGTGACAGCCTTGCTCCACTCGGATCCCCTCTGCCCAGGGTTGTCTCTCTGCTCCGACAAAAGAAGGTCTCACCCAAACCTCATGAAAGAGATTTACTGGGAGGGAAGAATCCAGGAGAGTGACTGCCTTCTACCAGGGTGACAGAGGGCACCTGGGCACCAAGAACAGTCACAAGCTGAACAGACGCAGGGTTTATATAGGGACTCTTAGGGGGTGGAGTTTTTCCATGTTGGGGACTGGTCAGATTTCAGTCCCTGAGCTCAGACTGGGTAGATCTCCTGCTCAGGGATTGGTAAATTTTCTGCACAGGTTTGGGGTCAGATATGACTCTGGTTTCAGGGTCAAAGTGTGTTTCTTTTTTTTTTTTATTTTGGTTTTTAGGAGACAGGGTTTCTCTGTATTGTTTTGGAGGCTGTTGGAATAGCTGGGCCTTGAACTCACAGAGATCCACCTGCCTCTGCCTCCCGAGTGCTGGGATTTAAAGGCGTGTGCCACCACCACCCGGCTCAAAGTGTGTTTCTTTCACTGGTCCTTTTTAGCATTTTGGCTCTGATTTTAGGGCCAGGGTGTATTTTTTTCACTGGCTTTGATTTCAGGGACAAAGTGTGTTTCTTTGGCACTGGTTTCAGGGTCAGGGTGCATTTCTTTGGTTCTGGTTGCAGGGCCAAAGTATGTTTCTTTGGCTCTACTCACGGTGTGTTTCTTTAGCTGGCCCTTTATCCTTAAACCACTGTTTTTGGTACTTAGAGTGTAGTCAAATCTATTCTAGTGTTCATATTCTCCTCCTCTGCTGAGTCCTGCCAGTGCCTAGTGCCCATGATTCAAGATTAAATTGAACCTGGGAACTCAAGCTAAGTTTCTCTAGAGAGTTCTTACTGACACTCTGTGGCGCTTTTGTTCTGGGTAGCTTAGAGTTCAAAGCAGGAACTGAGAAACAATAAAAAAAACACAGATAGTATTTCTCATTACAATCACCGATGTGCTCAGGTCTCTTGGCAAAATGAGAGCTGTTTGTTTAATGCCCTTGAATGTTCTAAGCTACATTGCTGAAGCGTTGGGACAATCTTGGCCAAGGCAGGCAGACCCACTCCTCCCAGGAGAGCAAACAAGCGTGAAAATCTTATTATTTTCGGTCTACTTCTCACCCCTTTCCTATAAACTCATTAAGAGCAGTGTAAAGCTTCTGTTGATACGGAAGACGATAGGTGGAGTTCACGAATCATTGAAAGTACAGGTAATATGTGATAGCTGCCAGTGCCCCCTGAAAGGAAAGGAGCCGGGGGAACCAATGTGGCCAGCTCCACTGCTTTTAATCTCCCAAAAGGTCATCCAACTGTTGTGGGACCAAGTGAGAATCACTTATAATATTGGCGAACACATACCAGGAGATGTTCACAACCAAAAGCTTATAGCAGTAAATCTTAACAGCAGCTCAGGTTTTGTAAAACTGCTGTTCAAAGTTCCTTCATTTTTACATTTAATTCTCTACACAGAAAAACTCTCTCTCAGAAAAACAAATTGTGTGTGCCTGTGTGTGTGTGTTTGTGTGTACATATATATGATTCTTTCTCTCATACTTTTTTTGTTTCTTTTTATTTTGCTAAGTAACATTTTTTTTGTTTCAGTTTTAAATTCTCTGCTTGAAATTTTACAGCTTTTCAACCTCCTCTCCCACTTAGGGTCTTATAAATCCTGGGAGGCAGAATGCTTTCACTTTCGCAACGGCTTAAGGGATAATGATGACCTTGAATGGGGCGACATTTTTGTAAGCAAGAACCAAAAGTAAGGGAGTACTCAGAGAGCTAAACCTCTTTAATTATACCCAGCCCTCTTGACCTTTATATACAAATTTCCCTTTAATAAAAATAAAGTGTCCAGGTGGGAGGCCGAGACAGGTGGATCTCTGAGTTCAAGACCAGTCTGAAAAACAAGTTCCTATCTCCTCATTGTGAAGGTATTTGGCTTCTTGGTGCCTCTTCAAACCTTTAGAAATTGCCTCTCCCACCGAATCTTCTATATCTTGATCTTTATATTCAATATTAACTGTATACAAGACCCATTCACCCAATGATGCTGATCTGATTTTTAATGGCCAAAGTACCTGTTTGCATTATGGATTTGCATTCTCCTAAGCTAGAGATTCTATAAGGATTCACCTAGAATCTGAATCAGTTACCTGTAATTCTATTGCTCTGGACAATCTTTGTCAGAATTCAGTGAACCTTTCTCTCAGTCCTTGTACCACCTGGTATAAGGTTCTATCCTCTTTCCTAGTTCATGTACCTTATTCAAAGTATTCAGAGCTGCTGTATGGCATAAAGACGAGATGTGTTTGTCATATTCAGCCTGAGCCTGTAGGTCACCATAAGCACCCTCAGCCATAATTTTATCTTGGGGAGCTTCATAGCCTTTCATTAGGCCTTGAAGCTTGAGGGACTTTGCTACCTCCCTCCATAAAGCTCTTCATTGTATTTGAGATGAATTTTCTAGTATCATACAGCTTAGATCAATTGACTCCAATCCTTTGGGGTCACCCTATTCACACTCGCCCCAGACTTCAGTAATTCCCTGACATAAGGAGAGTGACTCCCATAACAAACAATGGTTTATTCGATCCCCTTAAGGTCTTTCATCTGTATTGGTTCCCACTGATAAGCAACGGAACCATTAGGATGCCTCCTTGTTGCTGGTTTTTCAGTCATAGATACTGGGAAGGCCTAGGAGATGGCATAACAACCTTATCTTCCTGGTGTCTGAGATGTGTAGGTAAACCTCTATGATGACCTGTTGCTTGTGCATCTGATTCTGGTGTATCAGATTGTAAGTCATCTAAGACCTGCAGTCCAGCAACCACCAGTTTTCAGAGTGATTGAATTTCCTGGGTCAAAAAATTTTCTAAGGACTTCATAGAGTCTGTCCATTTCTTGGATTTATCATTTATACGTGATTCCAAGCATTTAATATTCTCATCCTTAAATATTATCTAAATGGCATGTAAGTTACCTTCTAGAAACAGTGTTCTATCTGATAACAGGTCATTATCCTCAGACATGGAATGAATTGTTTCAGTAAGTTTAACAATCTCGTTTTCCAGCTTTCAAATTTTATTAGTTGAGTCATCAGACATGGAACAAGTTGTTTCTGCCAGCATGATAATATCCTGCTGAATTGATTCCATTTTGGCCATAAGGGCAGTGGGCATGGAATCAATTCTGCCTTGTAAGTTGTTATGTTTGAGTTCCAAGGTATTTACTTTGTTAGACATTTCCCCATTGACCTGAAGACTTTGAATTTTTGTCTTTAATTTACCAATAGTTTGTAAAGCTTCCCTGCCCTATGATTAAGCCCTCTCTTCTAGGATATCATGTGGATTATGAATCTAATCACTAGCATTAGAGAAAAGAGATGGAATCCAGTTCGGCCGAAGAAAACCGCACCGAGCAGGAGAACGGGACTTAGGAGGGCCTCTGGGGTTACTCAGATGCACAGGGTTGTAGGCCACACATGTAGGCTGGCACCCGGCCAGGGAGGGAGGCAGCGGATCTGGAGGCTTGGTAAATTTACTTGCTGATACCGGATAATGTGGAAATAATAAATTACACAAAATAGGGGTGTCCTATGATATTTTGTTGAGGAAGCAATCACTTACGTGAGAAGTCAAGAAAGCCGAGAACCAAAGTGTAAAGAGAAGCCTTTTCCTTGAGAGAAGTCTTCCCGCCAGCCTGGTTCTAGAGCCGCATCAGTCCCAAATAAACACACAGGAGGCTATATTAATTATGAAGTTGTTGGCCTTGCTTGTCTCTTACTGGCTAACTCTGACTTAAGTAATTACCCCATAATTGTTAATTCAAGTATGTCTCTTACCAGAGAAGTTTCCGGGCTTCCTACCCCATGGCGTTACATCTGGACTCTCTGTGTTTCTCCTACCCAGAGTCCTTCTGGACTCCTAGTCCCTCCTGTCTTGGTTTCCTATTGGCTCAACAGTGCTTTATTGACATAATCACAGGACCTCCCACATCACCAAAGGTGTGCACACTGTTCTCCAGGCCAAACCCTGACCACAAAGAGAGAGAGCCTCATCCTCCTAGATATTTTTATCCCCTGTATGTTCTATGTGCCTGTGAACAAACCCAAATGGATGTGGTCAGCGTTACGGGTATGTAGACCTCTCCTTACAAGTAGCCAGGCAGGAAGATAGGCAGGGCTACCAGATGAGGAGAATTCTGAGAAGAGTGAAGGCAGGGAACAGTCGTAAGAGGGAAAGATGCCAAAGGAGTAACATGCCAGAGCTTTACAGTAAGCCACGGCCTTGTGGCAATACATAGTTTAATACAAATGGGTTAATAATTAAGAGAGAGGTAGCCACTAAGGGCCTGAGCAATCAGCCAAATAACTTATAAACAGTATTTTCTGCTGAATAGTACTCCATTGTGTAAATGTACCACATTTTCTCTATCCACTCTTCAGTTGAGGGGCATCTAGGTTGCTTCCAAGTTCTGGCTATTACAAATAATACTGCTATGAACATAGTGGATCAGACATCCTTGTTGTATGAATGGGCATCTTTTGGATATATGCCTAAGTGTGGAGTTGCCTGGTCTTGTGATAGGTTTATTCCCATTTTTCTGAGGAATCTCCATACTGATTTCCAAGGTGGCTGTATAAGTTGGCACTCCCATCAGCAGTGGAGGAGTCTTTCCCTTTCACTACAACCTCTCCAGCATAAATTGTCATTGGTGTTTTTGATTTTAGCCATTCTGACTGGAGTAAGATGGTACCTCAGAGTTGTTTTGATTTGCATTTCCTGGATGGCTAAGGATGTTGAGCACTTTCTCAAGTGCCTCTCAGCCATTTTAGACTCCTCTATTGAAAATTCTCTATTTAGTTCTGTAGCCCACTTTTTAATTGTATCCTTGGTATTTTGATGACTTCCTCTTGAGTTCTTCGTAAATTTTGGAGATCAGCCCTCTGTCAGATGTGGGATTAGTGAATAGCTTTTCCCATTGTGTGGGCTGCCTTTTTGTCTTGCTGACTTTGACCTTCCCTTACAGAAGCTTCTCAGTTTCATGAGGTCCCATTTATTAATTGTTGACCTCACTGTCTGTGCTACTGGTGTTATGTTCAGGATGCTGTCTCCTGTACCAATTCGTTCAAGGGTACCACCCACTTTCTCTTCTAAGAGGTTCAGTGTGGCTGGATTTATGTTGAGGTCTTTGATCCATTTGGACTTAAGTTTTGTACATGGAGGTAGACATGGATCTATCCGTATTCTTCTACATGCCATCGTCCAGTTATGCCAGCACCATTTGTTAATGATGCTTTTTTTCCATTGTATATTTTTAGTTTCTTTTTCGAAGATCAGATGTTCATACATGTATGGGTTAATATCATGGGGTTCAATTTGATTCCATTGGTCTACGTGTCTATTTTTGTGCCAATACCAAACTGTTTTCAGGACTACAGCTCTATCATACAGCTTGAGGTCAGGGATGGTGATGCCTCCAGATGTTGCTTTGTTGAGTAAGGTTGTTTTGACTATCCTGGGTCTGTTTTTTTTCCATACAAAATTGATTATTGTTCTTTCAAGTTCTGTGAAGAATTGTGCTGGTATTTTAATGGGGATTGGATTGAATCTGTAGATTGCTTTTGGCAGTATTGCCATTTTTACTACATTGGCGCTGCCTATCCAAGAGCATGGGAGATCTTTCGATATTCTGAGGCCTTCATAAATTTCTTTCTTTAAAGACTCAAAGTTCTTGATATATAGGTCTTTCACTTGTTTGGTTAGCGTTACCCAAGGTATTTTATGTTGTTTGTGGCAATTGTAAAGGGTGATGTTTCTCTGACTTCTTTTTCAGCCCTTTTATCACCTGTATATAGTAGGGCTACAAATATCCTTGAGTTGATCTTGTAGCCTGCCACTTTGCTGAAGGTGTTAATTAGCTGTAAGAGTTCCCTGGTAGAGTTCTTTGGGTAAACTATCATATCATCTGCAAATAGTGAAAGTTTGACCTTTTTCTTTCCAATTTGTATCCCATGCCCTTGCTCTCCTTTTGTTGTCAAATGGCTCTAGCTAGAACTTCAATTACAATATTGAAAACCTATGGAGAGAGTGGACAGCCTTGTCTTGTTCCTGATTTTAGTGGAATTGTGTTGAGTTTCTGTCTATTTAGTTTGATGCTAGCTGTTGATTTGCTGTATATAGCTTTTATTATGTTTAGGTATGTTCCTGTTATCCCAGATCTCTCCAGGACTTCATCATGAAGGGGTGAATGATTGTTTTGAATTGTTTTTGGATCCGATTTGCCAGTATTTTATTGAGTATTTTTGCATCAATGTTCATGAGGGATATTGGTCTGAAGTTCTCTTTCTTAGTTGTGTCTTTGTGTGGCTTGGGGATCAAGGTTATTGGAGCCTCGTAGAAAGAGTTTGGCAAAGACCCTTCTGCTTCTATTGCGTGGAATACTTTGAGAAGTGACCGGCTGTTTATTTTGTGTCTTCCCAGGAAAAGTCACAAACAGCATGAGAAAACGAACCTGCATAACCTGACCCTGAAATGCATCAGAATCTGTCCACAGTCTGGAGAAGGTGTCAGCACTCTGCTGATCACATCCATTGGCAGAGATGTGTTGGTCTATGTCTTAGTTAGGGTTACTATTGCTGTGAAGAGACACCATGACCATAGTAACTCTCATAAACAAAGACATTTATTGGGGGGGACTTATAGTTTCAGAAATTTAGTCCATTATCATCAGGGTGGGGCATGGTGCTGAACAGAAAGACATGTAGCCAGGGCTGAGCATCCTGCATCTTGATTGGCAGGCAGCAGGAAGTGACTGAGTGTCCTGCATCTTGATTGGCAGGCGTCACGACATGAACTGAGACACTGGCTGTGGCTGGAGCATATGTGAGACATCAAAGCCCACCCCACAGTGACACACTAACTCCAACAAGGCCATACCTTCTCCAACAGTGCCACACCTACTGATAGTGCCACTCACTATGTGCTTATGGGGGTCAATTACATTCAAACTGCCACAGTATATAGCCTCTACTCACTCCAAATCCATTTAGTAAGCCGTTGGTATGATGTTTTAGCAGCTTGTGTTTTTTTTGCAGTTCCCTCATTTTTGCTTTTAATTCTCCTAACACAGTAGCCATGTTTTAAAGTATTAATTCTTCTCATAAGTTAGACAGAGTGATGGAGCATAGAAAAACTGAGACAAAAATTTTGGGTCTGAAGTAGGCAGGCCAAATCCCATCTCAGAGCTGAAACAACACATGACAATATGTTTTTTTAATATTATCCATACTCAAAGAGCATTTGAACCAGAGATTTAAGGAACTCAGTGGTGGTATCTGTGCCTTTACAACTAACAAAGGCAGACCACAGGCATAAGGCAAGGAAACCCAAGAACACAAAGAATGTCGCCTCTCAGAGGAAGCAGACTTGGGTACTTACTGCCATTGCAGGCTCCTGTGTAATCTTCTCAAAGACATTTAGCTATCTGAACTGCGCCCGTTGGTATTCTCTGTTAGCATTGTCAAAGGCTGAAGTTTCTAATAACATCTATCTAAGATCAGACTCAGAAATAGTCTCTTATGCCACCAAGCCGTGAAATGAAGGAATTCAGCAGGATCAAACAAGCCCTGGCCAGCTTGCCCCAGTCATGGGGGAGAGTTGCTCTGTTTCAGCTATCCCTCTCAACAATCCCATCAAACATGGAGATGCAGGTCTGTAAGAGGAGATGGTTTGTTTAAAATCCTTAAGTATCGTATAGGGAATAGGCCCCTATTCTGCTCATATTCCCCTCTTAGGAAAATTATCATCAACTCTGGGTCTAACGAGTTAGAAATGTGTTGGCACTTCAAAGAGGCACAGAGAGGTACACCCCAGGATCCTGTTACTTTTAGGCTGAGTCCCAGGGCTGTTGCAGAAACACAGCTGCAGGGATGCAGAGGAATGAATGGGGAACAGAGAACTTTTCATCTTTTGAATCATCAAGGGAGGCAGATCACCGGGATCCAGTGATCGGGATGTCTTCTGTACATATGTTTCTTTTATTGTTTGATGAATAAAATACTGTAGTCTATAGGGCAGCAAGATAAGCGGGTCTAGGAGATGCGGAAGATTATGGGAAGTGGAGGCAGAGAGAAGTCATCTTGTGATCCCGGGAAGAGAGGACACAAGTGAGGCATTCTCCAGTAAGATAAGACCATGTAGAAATATCGATTAGTAGTTATGGGTTAATAATTAAGACAGAGATAGCCAATAAGAAGCCCAAGTTAATGGTCAACAGTTTCATAATTGATAGAGTGCCCGTGTGTTCATTTGGGGCTGACACGGCTGTGTGATCAACCTGGCAGAAAGAACATCCATAACAATCCAGGGAACCAAAGAGGAAGGTGGAGATCCTTTGCATCGTCTCATTCCTTCTGAAAGAGCTGCCTGTCTGCTGGTGTCTCCTCCTCCAATAGGACAGAGTCATTTCCAATGGCTGAATTCTAACGTGAGGGAAGTATGTGAGCAGACACATCCTGCCTGTGGAGGAGCTTGTCTAAAAGAACATGGACATCTTCCCATTGCTTGTGGGCAATGTTCCTGTGCTGACAGAAGTAACTGTATTGTATATATGCTCAGACAGGTCATAGAAACTTTGTTTTTTCTATTTTAAAATTATTAAGAATTTGAGATAAAAAGATCTAAAGTTATAAGTATAATACAACCTACTTATGGAAGGCTAAAGTTTCAGAACTTAAATTCAAATTATGTACAACTGTATCACAAATCTGGAACCTGAGTATGCCTTGAAAAATGCCCATGAGTCAAAATAAGCATTTCTCATAAAACATCATTGAACATTTACTTCATATCTGGTCAGTGAGTGTTTAATGAATTTAGAGCAGTGGCAGAGGAGTTAGCTCAGTTCACAGAGACTGACCTAGCATGCAAGAGGTCTTTGGTCTGATCCCCATGGCTACAAACACCCAGCAGGGGGGGTTGGGCTTATTCCTCTAACCAGCAGTTCAGAGGTTGAAGCAGGAGCACACAGAGATGTTGTTCTAACCCTCTCATCAGCCTCCCTGGAAACTATGGCTCCAAACAAAAACTAAAGTTATGTGTTTGCTCTTCTAGCTTGTTGTATGTTTGTTTCTTTTGGTTATGTTCGTTTGAGATAGGGTCTCTCTACATAGCTCCTGGAATTCACTATGTGGACCAGACTGGCCTCAAACTCTTTGCCTCCCCAGTGCTGGCAATAAAGGTGTGTGCCACCATGCCTGTCTCTTCTAGCTTTATTCGTTTGTCCTTCAATTTCTTTTTTAATTTATATATTTTATGCATATTAGTATCTGTCTGCAAGGAGATCTGAACAGCCTGCTAAGAAGATTGTGATGATGAACATTTTGTTTAGAGGATAATTTAGTGTGCCAGGCTTGTAAACAAAAAGATGCTTTTAGCTTGTAAAAGCCATGAGGAGGTTATTCCTTGAACTTACCCTGTCAACTAGCCTGAGATGGACAACTGCCTGGTGTAATTGGGCTGTTCTTCAAAACTGCTAGTCATTGCAAAATATTTCACAGTCTCAGCTATTCTTACAAGGTTATTAGGGTCATAACATTAAAGAGTCTAACTCCAAGTTCCACCTTTTTATGAAACACTTGCTTGAATGGATGAGACTCTGGCTACATATCTGAGATTATCTGTTACAAAATCAAACCTTGCCCACGCTGAAATATAAATAATCATAGTTTTGTGGCTTTTACCTTTATAAACCTTGGACTAACAATAGCCAGGACCTTACCTTACTTTCTCGGTGTCCATCCTGCCAGTCTTTTTAAATAAAAGCCTCTAATTTACTAAAACCATAACGAGTCAGACTGCTGAATCTCTGTATGGCCATAGACCCACAATCAGAGCAAGTTGGATTCCCGAGGACTGCCATGTCAGTGCTGAGAACTAAATCCAAGTCGTCTAGAAGAGCAGTGGTCTTTTTTTTAATCATCACTTTTTTTATTTTAATTTTAAATAGCTTGTTTTACATGTCAATCCCAGTTCCCTCTCCCTCCCCTCTTCCCGCACTCCCCTCCCCCTCCCTCCCACCCTATCCCCACTTCCTTCCACATAGGGGATATCCAAAGTCTGTCATTTCGCAGGGTCCAGGCACTCCCCTGAGAGTCCAGGCTGAGAGAGCATCCCTCTTTGTGTTAAGGACACATGAAATCCGTTTGTATGTCAGGGATTAATACTGACCTACTGCCCAGGGCCCCATAGGTTGCCCAGGCCTCCTCACTGACTCTCACATTCAGAGGGTCTGGATCAGTCCCATGCTGGCCTTCCAGCTGTCGGTCAGGGGTCCAAGAGCTCTCCCCTGTTCAGATCAGCTGTCTCTGCTGGTTTTGCCAGCCCATTCTTTGCCAATTTGCTCATCACTCCTCTCTCTCTGTCACTGGGTTCCTTGGGTTCAGTTCAGTGATTAGTTGTGTATTTGCCTCTGCTTCCATCAGTCACAGGATGAAGGCTCCCGGATGGTTATAGACATCAAGTTCATTATCAGGAATGGGCATTCGAGGTGGTCTCTCCACTATTGCTTAGCTTGCCA